AAATTTCTTAGTACTTATGCCATCGCTCTACATCGTGTGTGCTGTAGTATACGTGCTACATCGCTCTACATCGTGTGTGCTATAGTATACACGCTACATCGCTCTACATCGTGTGTGCTGTAGTATACGTGCTACATCGCTCTACATCGTGTTGCTGTAGTATACAAGGACTGTGGTGGCTTGGCATTAGAGTAAATGGCTCCATGGAATATAAGAAATTTTTCAAATTGCTGCCTCTTAATTTTTCTGTAACTTTTTTTGCAATACGAGTGATTCCCTCTATGAGGAATATGTGCCTTCTGTCACACTGGGGGGATTGGAACTTTAGAAAAACTGAATAAGAAAAGTCGGAAGGAAAGGGCCTGGACTTAGAGGCATGAGAGTGCTGTGTAGAAGTAAACTGTGCTGGGTTTGCGCGTGGATTCCGTGGCATCGCTGTGGCTTCTTGTGATGTTCTAAACCCTCCACCGTCCTCCCTGCTGAAGCTGCGCCGGTCCCAATGATCCGCCGAGGCACCTGGAGCTTTAGCAGGGAGCCGTCATTCCTGCACACACCATGTGATAGAAAAGTCCAGAGCAAGAGTGCCCACACTTTTGGTTTGGATTCAGCTCTAGCTTGATGGTCACCAAGTTCTTCAGTGTACTCTGGTCTGCCTTTCAGACTTGCTCAGTCACCACTGTTGGAGAAGGCATTCTGTACCCAGCAATTCCCTGGTGCTCTTTAATTTTAAGCCAGAAATCCCCGTAAGTGGTATCATCTTGCTTCATCATGGTTCCCTGTTGGTCAGCCCGAGTCTCCTCCACCCTCCCATTCTCAAGCCTTTTTGGGGGAGTTGAGGAGCCCTAAGTTGTTGCCCTATCACAGTGCCTGCTGAACAGCAGAGTAGAGTTCACGCGTGCATTTTTAATCCCAAGGCAGTAACTGAGAATTACTGTCCCTTTGAGAGAGCACCAGGCACTCCCTTGCCTCTCCCTTCATCCTTCCACACATTGGGAGCAAGGGCAGCTTGCCACCTGCTTCTTACAGATGAAGAACCAGGGCTTGGCACCCTGCAAAGACTTCCTGAGTAAACCTAGGTCATGATCGCAGAATTAGGATCGCAGCCCATCTGAGCACTGTCTGTTCTCAGGGGCTCATCCTGCATGCACAATCATGACTTCCCTGTCCCCCACTCACTTACGGGAATTCACAAGGCAGTGTAAAAGCAAAAGGCGCCTGCTCTGAGAAGGAAACGCACAAGTGTCTGTGGATCTGCTGCCTCGCTTTTATGAGGTTAGCCTCTGCCCTCTCTCCGTGAACTTTTGCCCAGAAGAGAGAAGTGTGGATTAGGTTCAGCATTTAGAAGTGGGTCTTCCAGTCTACAAACTAAAATGGACCTTGGATGTTCTCTTAATTCAGAACCTTTCTCTAGAGCAGAAGCTCTCGATGTGCGGGTTTGCGACCCCTTTGGGGGCAGAATGACCCTTTCAGAAGGGGTGCATATCACAACCTGCACATCAGATATTTCCATCATGATTCATGACAGTAGAAAAATTAAAGTTATGTCATAGCAATGAAACTAATTTTATGGTTGTGGGCACCAAAATATGATGAACTTGATTAAAAGGTCATGTCGCAGCCCTAGGAAGGCTGAGAACCACTGCTCTAGAGCATGCCGAAAATGTGTCTGCAGGCCATAGATCCCACAGTCCCTGGGCCTACAACCTCCCCACAGGATCTGGGTCCTCACAGGCCAGGCTGATCTGTATTGTAGAGACGGAATACAGAAACTCTCCTACAGTCATTGCTTGCCTCCTGCCCTGGAATCCTGCACAGTCACCCTCCATATACATCAAATTGTGCAAGGCAGGAGTTCGCGCCCTGCTGCAACAGGCTGAGAATAGCCGGCTGCTGGCACAGGGGGTGTAGCATGTTGCCACAAAGCAATTCTTGGACCTAAACCTCTTTTCACCTCTCACAGAACTAATTTTTAATATTCTCCCAAAGATGATGTCATAACTGGAAATGCATACTTCCTGCTGGTGGCCTTTAGGCTGAAGTGGCAGGTGGCGGGACAACGTGGTGGAGGGGGTGAATCTCATTCCAGTTCAGTGCTTTTGGTGGCTTACCAGTTCTGAGCATGCTGTAAAGGGAAGGAGAGTTTGCACTTTGTCCCTAGAGACCGTCTTGTTATCCCTGCCTGTGCATCTGTAGCTGCCAAGCCCAGGTAGCCAGAGATGCCAGCTTCCCCGTCAGACAATAGCTGGGAGAATGCCTGGGCTGCCCAAGCCTCTAAGCCTTCAGTAGAATTCCACATTTTTCACAGAGGCGGGGCCTCCTACCCACCCCCTCCCCCTTCCCTCTCAGGTTTGTGCCACGGCCCGGGACCCAGTTTCTCAGGGTCAGATCTTCGATTTTGCCCTTTCCCTGCGGGCTCTTCATAAGCCAGAGAGGGGTCTGGGTTCCACCTGAGTAGAGAGGTGTCGAGTCAGATTGGAGATAGTTTCAGGAAAGCATCACGTTCGGGATATGAGGGGTATTGTATTCTGTGTGGCTGCCAAAGCCACTGCACTAATGGCCACATGGCCAGGCACTGGCCTTAACATCTGCAAGAGAGACTCGCCGGCTCCCTTTGAAGCCAAGGGCTCCATAATTGCTGCTTTGATTGTGCAGGAAGGCTTCAGTGGGTGGAGCCCCGTCCCTTGCCAGCAGGCAGCCCAGCCCCACTGCAGACCGCGGCAAGTCTCCCGTCTCTGGAGCTTGGTGCCAGTGAATTCTTCAAAAGAATCTCCATCTGACCCGTTTTATATACGTAAGCCACCACACTCAGGACTCCATTTCTCCCGTGGGGCATGAGTCCATTTGCCCTGAGGCCTGTGTATTTTAACGGGGTGGTTAAGGACAGGCAAGGAGTCTCCTTGATGCTTTAGATACAGTTCCCCAACAGGAACTCAATCTGGGGTGGCAGACTGCCATGCAAGGGACCTCTGACAACAACCAACCTGTCTGGGAGTTGCGAGGCAACAGAATGATGAAGTAAAGGCCATCAAACCATGAGTGTGTAAGAGGAATTGACTGAAATAAGACGGGGAGAGGCTGTCCACACAAGTTATGTCTTGTTTGTGAGGAAATGATGCTCCTGGCAGCCATGCCTGTCTTGACTATTGTATTATTACTGAGCCCAACTCAAGAAAGGAGGAATTGGGGGGGGGGGCTTGTAGGCAAGCAGGCCGGAGAAGGGATCCGGTTCCACTCTAGAATAGCGGTCATACCAAGGCCACAGAAGTTGTTTCTACGGCATGACTTTAGAGTTCCCTGCACCTGAGATTGGGGACAGACCCCGGCAAAGAGGGACAGGTTGTCTCCCACAGGAGAAGACATCCCGAGCTCCCTATGGCCAGTCAGATCTCAATCCTAGCAGCCTGGCTTAGGCCAGCAGCGAAGGACTTCAAGGCCATGTGTTCTTTAGAAACCATATTTCTTAAACAATCCCATCACAGACTGAGAGGAAAACTGCTCAGGAAGAAGAGCTTGGACCAAGCCTTCGCACCTCCTTCCTGCAGAAGCACAAAGTAACGCCCATCCCAGACGTTAGTCCTCTTCCTCTCTCTTCAGAAAGGAAGGCCTTGCCTTTTGTAGCTCTTTGATCCTCCTGCGCTGAGGACCGGTGTGTTGCTCAGTGGATAACAACGATCTGCTACAGAGTAGGGACTGTAAATCCTGTGTGGAGATTTCACAGCTCAAGTGTTGCGATGCTTTCCTCATGTTGTCTTGGTTTGTTTTACTTCTCGGTAGCTACTCAGGGATACAGTTGCTTCAGTTTGGAGCAGGTGTTTGTGGGGACAGCTGTGGTGGGAGCAGCCGTCCTCCACCACGCACAGCCTTGCCCACCTCCACGCACAGAAGATTGCTCCCCACACTCCTCAGCACAGCTTGTGGGCAGGCGCTCTCTTGTACTCCAAGGTTCAGTCCTGTGGAAAGCCCTAGGCCACCCAGGCTGTGTTTTTACTTTTCAGAGGGTCACAGCTTTCTTTCTGTCATCTGATCGCTCTATCCTCTCCTCTTCAGTGGGTGGTGTGAAGGAGCCCACCATATAGAATTAATCATTTGGGGGAACGTTCTACTTGTAAGGGGGATATGCCAATCAGAAGCACAGAGGGCTGGGTTTGTCTGAGGCTGTAACAGGCTCCAGGTGTGACACAGGGCTTCTGCCCCTGCCTCAAATTCAAAGCCGTGGAGAAAAGTGCTTTCCTGGGTGGAGGGACGGATCCACGCCTTTGCTGTGTCTGTCTCCTTTGGTTACAGTGTTTCCTTTTCGCCCTTAATTGCCTTTGTAAATCTCAGGTCATTAAAACTTTGGGGACTAGGGTTTCTTTGTCTTGAAAAACAGTTCTTTTAAAATCCTTGCAGAGTATGCATTCTAGGCTAGCGTGAAATGTCTCTGTTGTTGTGGAGGGAATCATCTTGAGAACGTAAGCGGAAGGGGCGGTGCTTCCACCCCTTGAACTGTAAGAACGGACAGCACATATAGGTGTGTTGGGCGTGTAGTATGGACGTCGGCAGCATGCTGGCTGTCTGGAATGTTCTCGTCCCGTGTAGAATCCTGCAGTGGCTCCCTAAGGTGGACTTAAACCAGCTAATACTTCAGCTGACAGGCCCTCCCCCGGCCTGGCTCTTGTCACCTCTCTAATTCTTGTCTCACCCATCCTCCTGTTGGTGTTTTTTCCAAGCGTGGTTTTGTCTGTCTGTCTAATGAAGACCAACACTTTAAATCCATGTCATGTCGTCACTGCTCGTTCAAATACAGAGCCAAGTATAAATTCAGTTTGCTGCCTTCCCTGGGATGCATTTGAGGGTCTTTTGTTGGCTGGTATCCAGCAATCCATTGTAGCCAACATGAACTTGAGAAAATGGATCATTTAAATTCCTAGGTCAGACATCGCTGCCTATAATAGAAAGTATAGTCTTTCGAGGCCTGTGGCCAATTCATATTAATAGTATTTCGTTTGTTTCTTCTTGAGGCGGCAAAAGAAGCTCATTCCCAACGTGCAAAGCCAAGGCGGCGACCCCAGGCCCTCTTCTGGAGATGGAAGCTTGTTGAAAACCCAGACTGTCTCCACAGCTTGCCCGGCTGACCCCAGGAGCACTGACAGCCTCTTTACCCTGAGGTCACTGCTAGAGACGCTGACCCACAGAGACAAGTCACTGCCGGCCCTCCCTCCTGTCTCCTGCAAGCGCCGACTTCCAAAAGCAAGCCGAAAAACGCTTGTTTCTGAAAAAGAAAAAAGAAAAAAAAAAAAGCCCATGAGAATGCTAGCAGGCCCTGCCCACTGAGCAGCACTGCTTCCGGTCCCTGTGTGCACTTCTCTTCCGTGCAGACTTGTCACCCTCCAGCAAGGACAGCACCTTGGCATGTGCCACCAGAGCCAGGGACCAGAGCAGCCATCAGCATCCCGGCGTGAGAATTGTGGAAGACTCCCCGTTTCTGTCTTCATTTTCCTATCTTCTCCGAGTTTTTATTTAACAGTACAAAAGGATCAAGCTTATGTTTGCTTCTTTTTTTTTTAACTCGAATTTTTAAATTTACTTTTTTTTTCCATTCTTATTTTCCTTGTATATTTTGCTAGCTCTGAGCTTTTAAATGAAATTCATAGGTCTGGAAGAGTTTGGAATGAAAACAAGATGAGAAGAAGCCTTCTGTTTTTCGGAGCCATCTTGTGTGGCTTCTTTGTGACACACGGTGGCCTCTGTCCCGTTGAAGTGTCAGATAGAGCTAACAATTAGCCACACCCGCTCTCGCTGTTAGCGGTTGGCAGCCCATCTCACTTAATTTTCTGTTGTTTTTGTATAATGACAAACTTTAACATAGACTTCTGAGCAAACCCATTTGCAGTGGATTTCATTTCTTTCCTTTCACTCATGTAAAAAGCCCAGCACTTGAATTGTTATTACTTTAAATGTTCTGTATTTGTATCTGTTTTCATTAGCCAATTAGTGGGAATTTATGCCAGTTGTTGAAATGAACGTTGATGTACCTGTTACTTTGAAATAGCAAGGCACAGCCTTCGCCCCAAACTGTCATCTTTACGTTTGTCATTCCAGTTTGAGTTAACGTGCTGAGCATTTTTTAAAAGAAGCTTTGTAATAAAACATTTTTTTAAAAGCGTCATTTTCTTAAGAATAAAGTTGCTGATAATTGAGAGTCGGTGGTGAACTGAAGCCCGTGGGGAGAGGACACAGGGCAACACCTGCCTCCCATGCCTGGAGACCCCTGAGTCTCCTCTCCTTTGCAAGGCACAGGTAGGAAACAGCATCAGAAAGGGAGTCGCCCTGCGCACCTCAGGCTCCGTGAGGCTCCCAGCCAAGTTGTTGCCTTCTCTCTTCAGAGCTCCCTGGATTTCAACCTGAGCTCCCCACATTCCCATAAGCAAGCAGCAGCATCTGTCCCCTCAGAGCCTAAACTTTCTCAGTGTTTAGAGAGAGCCCACAATCCCCCTTGTGACGCAAGTTCATGCTGCTATCTGACTTAGCAGAAACTCCATTCATCAAACTCTTGCTCTTCCCTGACCTTTCACCTTCGAGTTTGCCTGAGATCCCTGGTGTCACTGGCTAACTGAAACCCCCACCCTGGAATTCTAGTCCTTTCCTTTTCAACCACGGCTACAGCTGGGGAACAGCTGGCTCCCGTGCTTGTAATAACCCTCCGTATAGTGTACTTGAAGGTTGCCGTTAAATCACCCCTCAGATTTCTCTTCTCCAGGCTAAGTAATCCCAATTCCTCGAGGCTTTTCATCAGCAGCGCTTTAATCATTTTCATTACTAGCCTCTGGAACGGCTCCAGTCCCTCTTCGTTTAATCCGAAACTTGAACCAGGAAAGACCGTATTATGTTCTGGGGTCCTACTTGTTATAAAGGTTTCATATTCAGCCCTCATTCGGGGATCATCTTCTTAACATACATGGTTCAAGGCACTCCCTCTGACACCGCCACCATGATACTTGCCGAGTTGGCTAGACAAGCAGACATGGTAGACTACTTTTCTGGGGGCGGAGGATGGAATCTTACCACGTCTGGGATACAGAGAGCAGGTAAAGGCTCGTTCCCAGCCCTTCTGCCACACTGCTTTCTGGGGGCATTTGTACTGAGGAAAGAGAATCAGGCATTCCCCTGCTGTGAGAGAGAGAGAGAGAGAGAGAGAGAGAGAGAGAGAGAGAGAGAGGGGGGGG